CCCCCCCCATTCTTCAGTTCTAGCACAGAGTGCCACCAGCCATAGTCCTTTGTGAGTCCCTTGGCTTCAACTTGCTGCTCCTTCTAGCTAATACAATACGTCCACTAGTGCCAGAAGTACAAGTCTGTATAGCAGTGCTGATCAGAAAAGGGTCAAACATTCAGGAGATTTGATACAACAAATGTGTTATGCAGGATTGTTTACAGGTTGCAAAGGTAGGCACCGTGACCATAGAAAATGCGAGATTTATAGTTGGTCGTACAACAGTAACATCTGTGTTATGCACCTGAATTAAGATTTTTAACTCTGTGTTCACAGGCCATTTCTCTGCAGGGCTTTTGCCTGATTTCGTACCCAGGTTGAATGCACATAAGTTTCAAAGCAACTGTAAAAATAGTATTTCCAGACTTTAGTGTGTTTGGATTTGCAGCCTAAATTAACTCTGTCTCAAGGGGGTTTTTTTGCAGTACATATAAAGAAATGTATAAAATATGCCTGTGTTTCTGTGCATATATGCGTATATATACAGCACCATACAGGCTGCTATGAAGAAAATTAACTCCATCTCAGTCAGACCCAGTACACGTACATACACATATAGTTTTATAGTAGCCCTGTATTTGGCACCAGTTTTGCCAAATAAAAAGTGTCAGTCACAGACACACCTGCATTTGACGGTAAAGGTAAACATAGAGGAAGAAAGAAAAATTTGGAAACAATCTTTCTTCACTGATTTGACTCCTATTTTTGTTTATTTTTTCAACTCAGAGGTGTTCTGTTGTATTTAACGGTCATTTATTTAGATACGTATTTCATGTAATACATAAATGTAATTTTCCATGCCACATACGTTATTGTTTTTTTTAATATGAACCTTGCCAAACATGTAATGCTTTGAATCTGAGAAGAGTAGCTAAAGTAGAAAGGTCCTTAGGGGAATAAAGATGGAATTAGCGAAAGTGGATTTTTTAATCTTCCCCTGCAACTTTAGGAGAAGTGGGAGAAGAAGTGGAAGAATTTACACGTAGATATATACACATAGTTTTCTTTTAAGCTTAACTGGTTTACCCCTACTTTCAGGATCATTTTGAATCTGGATTTGAGATTATATACGTATATAAGTAGAACATAGCTATGTGATGGTAGTGGGTTTTGGTAATTTTAATGAGCAAAGTCTAAACTGATGAGAATACAAAGAGGTATCAAGGTCTCCTGCTATTAATAGATGGAAATGATTAGCAGTGCATTTCTCACAAATCCCTGGAGTACTTTTTCTGTGAGCTGCCTGGTAAGTTTCTGTGAATGCTGTCAGATACAGAACTAACCCTTAAATGAAAGCGAAAGAGGCAAACGAATACACATTAAGTGAAGTCAAATAGATTAGCAGTACCAAAAGATACAGATTTATGACAAGTACGCCAGTAGTAAGTGAGAAAAATCTCAGAAAGCGTGGGTGAACTTTACACATCATCCATTTTAGGTAAAATAAGATAACTGCATAAATTATCAATTATTCTTTGGATTTGATAAAATATGGCTATTAATTGTTACCTGTATTAGACACATTCCTGGCCTTTGTAACTGAGATGTCATCACTGAAAAAAAGCCAATTTGTTTTGGTGAAAGTAAGCTAAAAATCAGTCTTTTGTGGTTGCTGAGATATCCTCTATCCAAGGAAAAAATACCCATTTCTTTGCAGGGAATACAAGAAGGTACAATACGTGGCTACATTCGTGACAGGTTCTGAAAATAAAATGCCTGAATTATTCTAATGACAAGATTTTGATGTATTGTTGCTATGAGGGGGCAATTGTGAGAGATGGCTATGCTAAAGGAGTAAAGCATAGTGGGCTAGATTGTGAAAATGTTACTCATGTTCTTGAGTGCTTACATGCACCAAAACCACTGGACTATTTATACATATTATTCATCTATGGCCTGCATTGTAGGTATTTTCAGAGAAAGGAAAAAATCCTACTTTGTGTAATATCGTAATACAAAACACTGTTTGATTAGATCCAACTGTAATTTCCTCCCTAGTCTCAGTCATCCATTTTTATAACTTTGCTAATGATATTGAATAATACCTAATAAATGTTTAGATGGCTTTGTTTAGTATCCAGTTGGAACCTTCATGAGATATTCTGGGTGCAAGGGAAAGGATGAACTTGGTGAGCATAAAGGGACAAGAGTGAAAGCATAGTGGGGCTCTACATTCCTGTACTAGGATGGTACCCAAAATCCTTGCTCAACCATACCATCCAGTATTATTACAAAATAGAGAGGATATCTATGTACATGAGAACTGCATTCAAACTGACTTTAAGATAGAAGGAAACATTCATTTATGCTATGTGTTTTGTGTGCTTTCTGTTTTCTTTACACTAATTGGAGTTCATCTGAGATGCACATGAATAACTTCATTAGCTGGAGCTGGGCAATTTTTCTTCTTTTTCTTCACTATCTACAAGTTGCTCTTACTGTGAAGTGTGAGCAAATGTAATGGAAAGGGAAAGCAGACCAGAATATAAATAGGAAATAGGCTGTGAGACGAGTAGAAATTTGCTTTAAATACACTCATGTTAGGTCAGATTCACTAACCTGTTTTACATGGTACTCACAGGAAATTGCTGGTGGGCAAAGTGGAAAAGGAGATATTTTTAAACATCTCTGTTGAAATATGAAAGGTATAGTACCTTTCACACACCAACGTAGTTCCTGTGATAATGAGCAATCTTTTTGTTACCTGCCTATACACAGAGATTAGCAATCCATTAATTAAACAAATCTGACCAGGGGGTCAGGCTAGATCAGGGGAAGGCTAAGTCAGGGGAGGATCTTGTTAGGTAAACAAATTCATGTCTGTATTACTTTCTAAACCTGTTTTCCTAAACTAAACAAGTTTTTAAGGTAGAGGGAGAAAAATCATCAGGCTTGCTGATAAATGAGTACAGAACATCTAGACACGATGTGCTGAAATACAAAGCCTGTCTAACATGGACCTGAATTCCTCTAGTGTGCCAATAGACAGATTTCTTATTATGCTTTGTCTCGTCTTCAGTGCCAGTGACAAGATTTTTTTCCCACTGAAATCTAATTACTAGCAGAACTGGCAGGATTTCAGCTGGTACTGTATCTACAGTGTTAAAAAGGAGAAGGAGGGAGAGAGAGAAAGGACGCTTAAGAAATACTTGAAAGAAGATCAAATCATTTTTGGTGATTAGTGAGGCAACAAAATTAAATATTCCCAATAAGAGGATTATTTAAGGGTCCTAACTGGTGATGTCTTTTACCGTAGGTGTGCAGAAGGCTATTTTGGACAACCTCTAATACCAGGGGGATCGTGTCAGCCATGCCAGTGTAATGACAACCTTGACTTCTCCATTCCTGGCAGCTGTGACAGCTTGTCTGGTGCTTGCCTGATATGTAAGCCAGGTACAACAGGCCAATATTGTGAGAAGTGTGCTGATGGATATTTCGGCGATGCTCTTGATGCAAGGAACTGTCAACGTAAGTCATGAACTTTTACTGCTCCTGACAGTATTGATCTATCCTATATCCGTGTTCCTGAGAGGAAGACTGTGCCTCTCTATGTGTGAGCAGGAGAATGATATGGTGTACTTACACCTCTAATAATAATAGTGTTTTGCTTGCATCTGCATCTGGAAAGGGAGACTTCAAAGTAAATAGAAAGAAGAACCTATTAAAAAACTTCCTGCTGTAGTTGAAGCAGTAATGAAGCAGACATGTCAAAAACCTGGGAGAGTGGAGCATTGCATGGATGCAAAAGGTTATACTAAATGTCAGATCTACAAAAATAAATACAAATAAATGAAAGCGATTCACTAAAAATGCTATAAACCATCCAGGAAAATCTCATTAACTAGTAAGATGGGTGCTGAAAGGAGGGAGTGATATTTCACTTACTGTAGGGCAGCACTTGTGACCTCCTTCCCACCTACATGACCTCGGTAAGAGTTGGGAGCTGCTGCCTCTTACAGGGTGAGATTCTCCTGCCTCCTGCAAAGCAGAGTCTAAAATCTCCTGACAAATTTTCTAAGGTGCTCTGGAGGAAGATACCTGGCATTGTAGCAAGCTACCACTTCTCAGCTGAGTGGTGGCATTTTGTTTAAGTACGAGCCCCAGCTCATACTTACGCATAGTGATTGCAAGAAATAATTGAGAGCAGATGGAAGATTTGGTAGGAGCAGGAGCTTTTGCTTCTGTAGGAGGCAGTGGCGCTCTCTGAGCCATTGCTGGCACAATTCAGAACACAGCTATTAGGCAGAACAAGTACTTTTAACTTACCTTTCCACCCCATTCTGAGGAATGGAGTACAACAGGTTGTAAACTGTCCTGAAAAAGCAGAGCATTTTATTTCACTGTCACAAGGATTTAATCCTTTTCTTTCATTGGAATAAACTCAGAGCAACTCCATTGAGAACAAAGGTTTTATCAGGATAAAATGATGCAAGTAAAAGAGTTGTCTTACTGCTGTGTGAGTAGGAACACAGGGACCACTTCTGCAACATGTGTTGCAAGCATGAAAGTCTGAGCCACTGGCATCGTTTCCAGGATTTGCTCTATTAATGGCTTGCAGTTTGACAGTGAGAATACTAAGTTCTGTTGGGCTACCTAAGACTGCATGGGAGCCAGTGAGATGCAGAACATCACCAGGTTTATTAGCTAAGGCTAATAAACACTGATATACGTAAGATCATGGATAGCCATGAAGACATATACCTGTGTAAATGCTTTCTATACCTACTTTATACAATGCTGGATAAAAGTTGGACAATCACATATATTCTCTGCACAAGTTAACAGTTCGTGATGAATGATGTTATATAAGTTAGGGTGTTAAGTGTGTAATGTGGTTTAAAAAGAAGTGTATTTTAAAAAACATAGCTTCCAGTAGCTTGTCACCATTCCTGAGGCATCAACAGGACTGTTGCTTTGAACATTTCTACAGTAGTGGCAGCTGCATGGGAAAGAGAAGTAACATGAGGAGAGTTCAGAAAACATACAATTAAAAAAAAGTATTAAAAATAAATACATATTTAATGTAGAATTACAAGCTTTGCCTTTGTTAGTATCACTGACAAGGAGGGCCTGCTAATGTATTCATAGCCCTGTGCTCACAGTTACCTTGTATTCATCTACTCTCAGTCTTTCATGTGGGTTTTCTTTTTTGCATATGATTTTTTATTTCCTTTGCAGACTTCCATGAAGTTTGCCCTGCAGCTACAATATCAGAGGGACTGTGCCTTTACTTTGTTGTTTTCAATTTCGTTCCTTATTAAAAAGCCAAATCCAAGAGTATTGCAAAGCATGAATTTTGCTTTCAAATTATTGTTTGAAATGTTTCTTGCTCTTTCTCAGTACAGTGCTCTTGTGATGTGCATTAACCATTTCAAATGACAGTACAACTTTATATCACTATAACATCTCTGAATTTCTTGGTGTATCTGTACAAAATAATAAATCTAAGAACACTGAGTAAATGTCCTAGGCTTATTTTATTTGATTCTAGTAGGTTGTTTTTTCGTGTGAAACAGCACAGTGTGCTGAATCAAATACCTGGAGGTTGTGCTGATGGTAATAGAGCTAAGTGACATGAGATGAATTAGAGCAAATCTTCAAGCGTGCCTATGTGCCACTGCATAGGTACTACTGTTGGAGGCGAGTAAGTGTGTAGGTTGATTATAAATACACACACATAAATATTTATACAAGTCAAGAGAGAATGAGAAGTGTCTTGACCAGTGTCATTTTGGGAGAAAGTAAGACAAATTTCTCTGACAGGCTGTATTGTATTATGGCAACCATTTGGAGGTTTGGACAATAGCTAATTTTCCCAGTAGAGGTGAATGAATGGGAAGGCTTTAGGTGAGCTAAATGCAACTTATCAGATTGAGTAAGAGTTTAGTAGATGAATAGCCCTGACTGTATGTTTCTTCTGTATGTATGTACTGCCAGAGCCAAGAAAAACAATCAAAGTCTTGACTTTCAAATTCTGCTTTACCACTGTATTGCACTCAGTCATCACTGGCTGAGTTAAGAATGTATGGTATGCTCTTTGTGGTAATATATAATATAAATAGGACAAACTCATCTGTTTATTAAATCAGTGTACATTTTCTTTTTGATTCTTGTGGTGTCATATGCCTGATAAGCAAAATAATTCAAATAAGACAAGCTTTGTTTTTTGAGGTCTGTATAAAAAGGCTGGTGAAATACTATTAATTTGCATTAAGAATTGTGGTTTGTTGAGTCTGAGCTTTCATGTCATCTTTCACTGCTGACCATTTTAATTAGAAAGATACTCAAAGTATATATATACTCATCACTGTGTACAGTGTGAGAGTAAAAGGAAAAGAGAAGCTATGTTAATTACAGCAGAAGTGGTTTTAAGTGTTTACATTTTTAAAATATATTGCAAAACAGAAGGAGATCAAAACCTCTGAAAGTGTTACCAGACTGATAGGAGAGCCCAACGTATTTTTGTTACTTATTCCAGAATATGAGAAATCTTTGCAAACATTTGAGAAATAAGGCCATGAACAGACTAGCAACCCATAAAGTCACTTTCATTTAAAAGAAGCAACTTTTGCAGAATACCTGGAAAGTGGGGGGGGGAACAGAAAATAATCCTTTCCATTTACAATGTAGCAAGTCCAATAAAGTAATGAGGAAGCTCCTGTTGTAATAGTCTATAAAAAATATAACTGCTTTGTCTCAGATGGCACCTTGTGGCATGCAAGTATGTGACCACCATGTGTTCACCATTGGGACTCTTAAGTGTTTCTTAAAATGAAGCTGTCAGGTTGAGAAAAAGACCAACACATGCAGTCAGGGCGCTGCAGGAAGGCAAAAAGTGGATTGGAGCCCTGGTTTACAGAGTACATTGATAATCTATATAGAGATGTGGATTAATTCCCCTCTGGGGAAAAAAAAGGACGTGCAGGAACCAGCTCACGCTGATGGAATTGGTGACTGCATGGTCATAGTCCCTGTGACACCCGATCACATCCCTCTTCTCTACTGTGAGTGCTAAAGGGATTTTTTTCCTAATCTCTGCATGCCAAAGGAATTGCGGTCAAAGAACGTAAAGGGGGATAGAAAGCTTCCCAAAAATTTATCTTCTCCTAAACCATGGAATTTAGAAGCCAAAAGCATTGTTAATTTCCTCAAGAAACAGCAGTTCCTTTTCATTGCCATTTTACATCCTTAGGAGAGCGTTGTGATGAGTTAGGCGGGTCAGCTGGGTTGCGTTTCCTCTGGGAACTGCGATGCTGTTGCTGAGACAGAGGCACCAGAGAGTCACGGGAGCAGATGATCCTCCGTCTCCTTCTCAGGGTGCTGTCTGTGAGGAGGAGCTCTTGGGGGGTTGTGGAGGTTACTGCCCCATAGCAAGGCCCCTGGAGGTAGCCTTGCTCTGCGTCCTCAGCCCGCTGACATTTCCTGCCTACTGTGTTAACAGGGACTGGACTCCAGGGCAGCAGGACCAGCATGTAGAGCAGTAGCGTTCCCACCTGCCATAGCTAAATCCCGTACACACCTTGTGTAAGGGTCTGTACCCTTTTTTTTTTTTTTTCCCCCTCTCAGTGCTGCCCTGCCCACTCCAAGGTTTGGGGCAATGGCCAGGCTGTTCTGAGGGAGCAGCTTCTGAAAGGGAGAGATCCCTGCCTTCCCCACCACCCCCTTGGTCCGGAAATTTGGCACTAATTAAAATGTAATGGCAGTTACTGTTTTAAAGCCTTAATCCTCCATCATGACATGCTCAGTAATGTGCCCTAAACATCCTCTTTTGATCTGAGAGGCACATATAAAACAAATTGTTTATGAAATCAACGCAAAATTTCTCACTGTAATAATTTGGAGCAAAATTCCACATTATTATGGGTGGGTTAATATATGTTGTCACCGTATGGGAGTAACACCTTCCTGCTTTACTCAGGCCTGCCTTCTTAGGTTTCGCAGGGTGGCAAAAGCCACACTGTAAACATTTGTCTGTTAAAGCTTTAGCAGCATACGTGTTTTAAGAAATACGTTGACAGCTCCTTCTTCTTCCTCTGCAGCCTGTCACTGTCACATCAATGGCTCCTTCTCAGAGATCTGTGACTCTCGGACAGGCCAGTGCGAGTGTAAAGCCAACGTGATTGGGCGCCGGTGCGATGTCTGCCAGGTGAATGACAAGACATGCTGTTTTCTTTCCGTTTTCTTCCCTGTTTCTCATGACTAAATACAGATTCGGTTTGGATAGTTTTTCTTCTTTGCTCATTTTTCACTTAAAGAACATATATGAGTTGTTCTTATGTACAGAATGGTAGAATGGCTGTTTTTTAAATGTTTTCCAAGGGATTTCTAGAACAAAATGCAGAACATTGCATGCAAATGTATTTTAAGCCTCACTGTACATACAAGTACATTTTTATATGTGGTATGTACACTTTATATTCTGAATGCTTGTTACAAATAAATTAGTTAAAAGTATTGCAGCTCTGGGAGAAAATCCCTCTATGAAGGGAGTTGCAAAATATCTGATAGCATCTGATTTTCAAAAAAAGCAGGATGCTAATTTACTTCTGCTGTGAATGTTCTGCTTTTATGTTTTTTCTTAGGGGTTCTTCTTGTATTGTCCAAATAGTGTTTTCTTTTTTGGTGAAAGTGTCTTTTGCCTTGACGTTGTTTTGCTGTCTCATAAATCACTGCAAAAAACAGTGTTTCATGAACTTTCACAGAGTTTTCTTCAGGCTGCTAAGGAATATGTTATAGCTAGCTGCATGTTTCTCTAGCTCAGCGTGAGGACTTGTGGGTTAGGCCTGTGTCCTCAGAACACCTCCGCGTGTGTGTAATTTAAAGCACATAAATAATTCTGCAGAAATCACAAGGATCATTTTCACGCTGCGTAAACTGTAATTTCTGAAGAGGTTTGCTTGCACTCTATTTTCAACAGTATTTAAAGAGTTTGTTCAAAGAAAAATCATTGATATCAATGGAATTTGCACAGATTGCATAATGTATACAGAAAATATGTCAAGCTTGTTGATACAATATTGGCCGTCGGCTGGAATTAATCTTTGTGTACTACTGTGTTTATTACTATCTTTATTCCTGTACTCTTTTTATTTGCTGTAGTTTCATTACCTTCACTTTCTAACAGTGTTTACTTTTCATTCTTAAAGCCCAGCTACTTCTGGGCCCCAGAAAAGCTGTTTTGTATACCCTGTGGCTGCAGTGCTTTAGGATCCATCTCACTGCAATGTGATATGTCAGGAAGATGTATCTGCAAATCAGGATTCATGGGCAGACGCTGTGAAATCAGCAGACAGGTGCCTAAATTGAAAGAAAATGCACGAAGCAGTCAGCAGATCCGAGTCCCCCCTCGGAGATGGGGCGTCAGCAGTACCAGTGGGTGCCCACGGGGTGCTTACCGGCCTGCTATTCCGGTAATCAGAAACTGTGTGCATTGCATGGGCTGAAATCTCGTATTCGCTTGTGTTTGGAGCTCCCGCAGACTTTTTTTTTTTAAATTTATAATACGTGTGCTACAATATACAAAATTACCAAGAAACACACGGGCTCAGAAGACAGGCAGCCTTTTAGGATACTTTCCCACATCTAGGGCTTCTCATAGTGCAAATGACAACGTAGGCCAAAAGTCAAATAGCAGAATAAGTCCAAAAGCAGCACCAACAGCAGTATGCACAAAATGTATGGGTGATGTATATACATCAATGGAAACAGTGGGATTTTCATGGCCTTCGGCAGGATACGACTTCCTCTTCTAACAATTCAAGAACCAAAAGCTTAAGGAGTTTATGAGAAGGATCAGACCTAGAGGCAAAGTGTTAAGATCTAATCTTGAAATATCAAGTATAACTCGTGTTAAAAGTTCTCATTAGTGAATACGGCGAGTTATCTGAGCCATTTTTAACCGGGCGAAATGCCCATTGAATGTAATGCCCAAAATGACAGAAGTATTCATTGTTTATCACATACCAACAAAACAACTTATTTCCTAAAATGAAGTAATTATGATGCAACTGCTTCTAAAGAACAGTGTTTTAGGAATGTTGGGTTTTTTCCTTGCAACTCAATACTTTCACACTTAACACACCCAGTTGAAAAATACCTGGCAGTGTTTTTCCTCCTCAGCCAGACTCCGGACCCATGCCATGTTTGCTCATATGGATTCCCCTAGAGAATATGAGTTTTTACCGATTTTACATATATTATGTGACTGTGTTGCCCACACAAACACTCGACATACACTGATACAGGGACAAAATATAACAACATATTCAGAAAATTTATCGTATTTCCTCATTGTCATCCAGGATCTTATCTCTCAGTAAATGCGATTCTTAGAATTTCTGTGTGTAAACAAGCTTTGCTGAGGGCTTAACTTGGGCGTTCATCTTGGGGCTTTGCATGACTGATCAAAATGTCTTTGACTGTGCAGAGCTCATCACAGAATACAACCCAGCATGCTAGTGATCTTTTCTTCCTTCACACAGTGTGGAGTGCTAGCATATCAGACTTTTTCTGGCTTTCACCCTTATAAACAGAATTTATTAGATCTTATCAAACTTTCTATTGAGAACTGAGCTGCATGCTGTGCATTGGTTACTTCACTGCATTAATCTGAATGTCTGTCCTGAGATATTTGCATATTCACATTTCTGTTTCTTTCTTCCTGTGGAAAAGAAATCTTTAAAGATAGTCTGTATATTTAGTTGAACCTTGGAGTTTAATTACATGAGTTTGAGTATTTCTTTCTCTCTGATACACCATGTTTTGTCATGCAGAAGTATATAACTGGCAAAACATGTCAATATAGAATTTGGAAATGAAAATCAGTGTAATTCTTTACTATATGTAAAATCAAGCTTAGGTTATATGTAAAATTTGCTTAGATTAATACGATTCTTCAGGCCAAATTCTGACCATAGGTGTGGTCCTGTATTCCGATACCTATAAGCAGATTCTCTATGGGAATGTGGAACTTCAATATTAACCTCAGAGATCGGATTTCAGGACTTTTATATGGGAAGCCTGCTGAAGTCTCTGGGAATTCACCTACACAAGTGGTTAGGGGTTCCACTGTGGAACAAATCCATGCAAAATGTAAGTCAGCGCAGCTCCACTGACTTGAAAAATTTGTACTGATGTATACTCGGTAAAAATCTAACACCACATGCCTGAGTCACACAGTAGTACATTGTAAAAGTAAGTATTTCCACTTTGTTCCATTTATATTCATTAGCAGTGATCTTTTTAATATCTCATTTTTAACATTTTGCTTTCCTAGCGAAGTCCCTGATAGATTTTTACAATTAAATGTTGTAATATCAATTTCAAGTGAAGTTAGTAATATGATTTGGATTTCAATATTCTCTGAAAATCATCATATCTGAAAAAAGGTGGAAAAGTACTCCCATTTTAAGTTGCTCTAGCTCAAGACTGAGTTCAGAATTTGAATATCAAGTACAGTTTGCTCCTAGGAGCCTCTGTTAGCTGGAGCAGTGAAACCCATGCGGTCTGTTGGTTAAATGCTTCAGACAGAACTCCATATTACAGTATACAAATAAGCATGTGTCTTCCCTTCTTTACAAGTATACTTTTTGCACTCCACTAGTGGAGTTAAGGAGGAAATTTATTACTGTAGTTGATAACATCTATTCTGGTTCTGTAGGACTTAACAGTACTCAATGCAAAAGAAAGTGAAGAATGAAGATAGAGGAGAAAGACAGGCTCATTGATTACTTCTATCTTAGTCTTAGACCTAACCCAAAGACAGAGTTTTTGTCTTAAAAATAGATTCCCATTATTTGCTTGTAGTGTACACAAATACATTATATCTATGTTCTTCTAAAGTTATTCCTAAGTATCATTCAAAAGAAATGCCCTCGAGTTACAGAATACTGTATACAGACGTTGCCCCTGGTCAGAGGAGATAAAATCTAGTTGTTCAGAGACTTTCCAGTTGAATCGATTTCCATTCATAGCTAATAATTTGAATTCACTCTCTTAGCAACAAACTCTGCCTGACATTATCTGACAACCCAGACACAGGATATGTATATGGCACTGACATACATTCCATTTTTTGTGGGTATTGTACTTACAGAATACAACTTCGTAGGAAATGCGTTTCATTGCAGAACATTCGTTATAGCATCAGGTAACATTTTGAAATCTTTACTCTTTTTCAGGTGTGTAGGGTATTTAGTGCCCTTGCCCCAGTGTTTTACCGCTACAATTCAATCTGTTAATAGTAGTATTTCAGTGATGAAGAGGAAAGAACCACCCTGATCTCCCTACACTCTCAGCTTTTCCTCTTTTCTCCTGGTAATCATTCCATGTACTAACAGCTCTTCCTCTCTGTGGCAGCCTGAAACATTTGGCTTACAGTCTTCAAGAGGATGTGTTCCCTGCAACTGCAACTCTTTTGGTTCCAAGTCCTTCGATTGCGATGGAGATGGACAGTGTTATTGCCAGCCTGGAGTGACAGGAAAGAAGTGTGACCGCTGTGCTCATGGATTTTACAACTTCGAAGAAGGAGGATGTACTCGTATGTAAACTCTTTGCAGCCAATTGCAGATTTATTTATTTGTTTGTTTGTTTATTTATTACTAAGATTCTAGTTTCACTGGTTTTGGATTGCCTAACAAATTTTCCTGACAGGTAGGTATTTTCATAGACAGCCCTGTAAATCAGTCAATTGGCAAGGATGGTGATTGGCAAGAATAAAAGACCCAAGCAATTCCTGCTATTTTAGGGTCAGCTTATGGCTAATCATCTAGCACGTTTAGAAGAAACAGGAATGTCCTTTTCTCCAAGTACTTTTTGCCAAAAAAGTTTCTATGAAGTTCCTATAATTTGGTTATGGTAAGAGTATCATAGAAGGCTGATTAAGGTACTTGCCAAATCCCATCAGCTTGAAGGGATGTTAATGGAAAAAAAAAGGAAAAAAAATCCCTTTGCTTCTAGTTTTATCCCAAACCTTTCACTGTCCCTACATGGTTGATCCTTTTTTATTAAATTTCTATACAGTAGTATTTAGAATCTTGCTTACTTGTATACTTTTTGTGTACAACAAGATCTTCAAATAAAGTTCTCTACTATGTCCCTTGCGTAAACACATGAAAAGTATGCTTTTCCAGATGCTGAAACTCTAACATCAGACGTAAATATATCCAGCCACTTCTTTATATTTGTCCTTTTGGACATTAGGTCAAACACTGAAATGAATGCTTCCTGTCCTTAAAGCAGTACAGACTGCTACATCGAAAAGAAGAAATTGATAGGTCTCTTCACAGGGAAATACCCATCTTTGCTAATAGAACTGTATTTTTAAAGTCTTGTAGACACATTTAGGTGTGATCACGGGAGACCTAGATAGTTGTCTAGTGCAGCTGGCTGCTGGGACGCCAGAGTGGCGATGGCTCCGCAGCATTCTTTGCTGATGGCAGAGTGCTATAAAGCCAAGGGTATTGCTGCTATTATTCTTCAGGCAGCAGCTGTATTTTTTCCAGAAGCAGAAATCACCATGCTCGGTATCCTATTCCTCCTCCTTTCCCATCTGGAACGGCAGCAGAAGCAGTAAGCCTAGTTCTCTGCCTTTTTTTACTCCGTTTTTTTATGGAAGGAGCATCGAGGCTCGAGACCCACATCTGTGCAGCAAAATTCAATTTTACCTGTAGTGTTGATAAGCCTTGAGCCAGGCTGGATTATAGATCATATCTGAAAACATTACTCTCTGGTATTGTCTCCCATGGGAAGGAAACGTTTACCACCTTGAAAAGTGCAAACACATTGGCACCTTGGAAAAGGGAAAGATTGGTTCACAGGCTCACTGGTGAGAGAACTTGAAATTAAAATGCAAATTATAACTGCAGTCCTAAAGCCTTTAGCACATATACGGAGGGAAAAAAATACTATAGTTTATCTTCATGATTAGTCTCCTATTCTAACATTTCACAGTTTAAAAGCATGTCACTATTGTGAAATGCTACAAAATGTGGTTAATTTCATACAGTTGGGGAAGGAAAAGGAGGGCAATTAACAAGATTTCACATTAAAATTTTAACTGCTCTCTTGGCAAACTTGAAATGACAGAGTTTAAGGAACAGTGATGAAATGGGAAAGTTGTGTAAATCCAAACAATATTTTAAATAGAAATATATCCGCCTGTGGTCATCAAATATTTTAAATAACCACAACAGCTAAACATGTTCAGAAAATTCAAATTTTTAAAAGTTCCAAAGTTAATACAACAGATGGAGAGGAATTCTGTTTTCAAAATGCTGTTTTTCCCCCACTTATTTTTAGTAGGCTTTTTATGTATTCCTTCAAATGACAAAAAAAAAAGGAATTAAATTATGAATCACAGGGAAAATCAGAAATTTAATAAAAGTATATCAAATCGTGCTAGGAAGAAAGTGCACAAAAATGAATTCCATAGTGACAGTTAAGTATCGAATAAAATATTGGACCTCTTTTATCTAACATTTATCCAAAAGGAATATAATTTGATTTTTTTTCTTGTGCAATAAAAAACCATAAAGCCTAAAAAAAACCGCCCTAAAGCATCATCAGTTAGCGTTGACATTCTAGCAGCGAAGATACAAAAGAGATTTCTATTTCACTATTGCTTGCAACAGATGTGTTGTATTTTTTCCATATTCTTTTTAATAATGATAAAAGTAAAAATGCAAAATGTTGGTGTATCACTTTCTTCCCCCCCATGCCTTTTGAACCAATTTCGTGTAAGAACTGGAAGCCCGTAGAAAAGCTATCACATCTGAAAGCCTCAGTCTCCCAATGAGAGATGTATTCTGAAACATCTTCAAGCCACAGTGTGTCAAAAGATTTTATGTGGCATGCAAAATGTCTTGTTCCTGGCATGATGGAGGCAAAACTTACTATCTTCTTTGCACCTTATTTTGAAAGCATTGATGGGGAAAAATAAAGGTCACTTCTTATTTGAACTATAGATAAGAGTTCTATCTTTGCACATCTCTTAGTTCAATTCAGCGTAAAGCAAGAAAGTATTTCATACAGTAAAGGCAATGAACATAAATACAGCCTTCAGCAATGAACATTATGTTACACTGCCCTATAAACACCCCAAGGAACTGGTTATCACTCAGAGAATCATAGTTTGCTTATGATGCTTTTGCTTTGACCTCAGGGATGACGTTGATGGTGGGTATGAAAATAACCATGCACCTGTTCCCCTCCTCCAACCAATTAGGTGTCTTGTGCTCCATAACTTCTTATCACTTACGTACCTCGAATCTGCATGTGGCACCAATGAGTTGTTCACTTAATAATGCTTTAGGAGCAAAGACCACTTTTGGAACCACTTCCAAAACCAAAGTATTTTTAATTGAGTAAAATCTGCAAAGAATCCCGGTTTCCTGTGAAGAGGCACGTTGTTGATGTCCTCCCAAGACAGAATACATGTAATATGAAAAAAGGGAGTAGAATGGGAAAAAGAAGCTGGAACACCTTTTTTGCCCTTTAAGAAAAGTCTACTTACAGCAGCAGAAATTTCAGGAGGTTGGCTCAGATTGGTGGAAGATGTTAATTATACTGCAGGTTCCCTGCGTAAAGGGCACAGAGGCAGTCAGGTGGCTTCTTGCACAAGACAGTGTGGGCCCAGAAACTGTACAGCGATACTCTTGCAGCTATGTTACGTGAGTGCACCATCTCAGAAGTCTCTGCACTTCTACAGTTGGTGCCTTTATTTTTCCCATTCTGTTCTCATTGCAGTTACTTCAACCTCAGTTAACCTGTGTTGCATTGCTCCCGACTTGGGTTTCTCTGGGTTTACCCTACCTTTCCTGCCCCATTGTGTCCGCAGATAGCTGAGAGTTCACTGTACGGTCAAGGCTTTGGTGGAATGATCCTAACCCTGTTAGGATCTCCAGGTGTCACATAAAGGGGTAACTTTTCCTCTGCTTTATTTTTTTCTGTCTCCCATGAAGCCTGTGAGTGTTCACGTTTTGGTAATAACTGTGATCCCATCAGTGGCCGCTGTATCTGCCCTCCCAATACTGTTGGAGAGACGTGTGACAAATGTGCACCTAATTACTGGGGCCATGACATTGTCAGTGGCTGCAAGGTGAGTGGATCTCTATTTTCTCTTTGCCATGGGGTAAATGCAGTAATTTGTAGCTGGAACACAATTTTAGGTTTGTAAATCATGGTTCATCTCTGCATTGCAAGTTTTGGTGTCAGTGTGTGGTGTAAATGTTGGCGATCTGTTACTGAGCACTACAGATCCTCTCTCTCAGGTATGCAGCCCGTAACACCGAACACCCTGTTTATACTGCTGTCATGCTGAGTCAGTGTCCTGCTTGAGCCTGGTTTCTTTTATTATAGCTGTATTTAACGTGAGTAAGGAGATTACCATGTTATTTATACAATGTATATAGATGTATAGTTACAGGTAATTGACAGTGCCTTTGCAGAACAAATTTACTTTGGCCCTAATTGTGATACCACTGGGAATTTGTACTTGAAGTTTACTTGAGAAGGGCTTCAACTTGTGCATAAAAGTCAGTGAAGAGAGAAGAAAAGAAACCTGTAAAATGCACTTTCTTCCTATGTTCTTAATGGGGAAATAAACCTTCTCATTATCCTTTAAATCCTTCTTATTCCAGTGTTTGACACAGTTAAAAAAGATTCTGAAGGGGAGGGAAGAAGGGAGAAGAAGTAGGAAAACAATGATAGTATGTCAAAGAGATGAAAGCCATTGTTAATGTGCTACTCTTGAGTTAAGGGGAGCAGCATTTGGTTAAGGTTGAAAACTGGTGACAGTGAATATTGTGCAAAATTCAAATGCCTTCTCCTCTCTGCCTTTCTCATTGATGATGAGGGATTTATAGTACTGCCGCAATTACTTCAAAAAACTATGTCTTGTCTGAACATGGTCATACAGGATTAATGCTCTTTCTTAAAAAGCTGTTTGTCATGTAGCTCAGGCTGCAAATTAATTATCAAGAATGATTTCCTTTTTGTATGTATGGAAAACTCTTGTGAAACCTCTGTTGTGCTGCTGTGATATAGACTCTTGGCTTCTGAAACCAGCCTAATGAGGTTGAAGACCTCTGTTTGAGCTCTGGAGTATATTCTTTGATTTTCTTTTATGTGAGTGCATTAGTATGGCAGTTCCATGCCACCATCTAAATTAATAATGATCTATCAGCCCACATCTCTTTCAGAATGTTGCAGCTAATTTCTGCAAAGTGAGATGTGAATTTCCTGCTTGCACTCTTTGTAGAAGATTTCCAGGGCTGTCGTAAATCAGGGGGATAGAGAGCACTGCATAAAACTGCTTGCTCGCAAAACAAACATAACATCTGATTGTAATTTAGGTTTTGGTATTGCACACCAAGCTATTTCAATGTTTGGTGAACAATTTGCTTTCTAAGCTTTATGTTCAAATGTATCTTGTAGAATAAGGTTCTTTCTGTCAGAAGGTCTTATTTCTTAGGTTAGGTAGTAGTCTAGCAGTCTAACATTTAACCAGTCGTTAAATAGTTTCTCTGGCATTCAGTAAAGACTGAATTTGAATGTCTCCTGTATATAATCACCTTCTTTACAAATCGTCTTTTCAGAGCAGAAGAAAGATGCTTTAAGTATTCATATAATAAACAATTTTGCTTAGAAATTGAATCCACATTTTCCTCCTCTCTTTTTCAGCTTTGTGTCCTTAATTTTAGCAAGTCTATCCATGTCAGTTACTGTGGTAACCTGTACTGGCACTGAATTTGCTTCTGCAAGCTGAACTTCTCCATATGAGATTCTGGTCACGCCAGTGATCACAGCAAATGTCCTGTGCTAACTTTGCAGTACAGTCACAGTAATAGCACTGAGGGATTCTTCTGTTCTTTGGAAGCCTGCAGCCTTCCCTGCTACTTACTTCTGTACTCAGTATCTAGCCCCCTGGCAAGTCATCTAGTTCTATCCCTACCTGCCTGCGCAAGTCTCATTCTGTGAGCAAGTTTACTTCCCAGTACACCGCATGACTAAACCTCTATCCCTTACCGTGTAAATTACTGTCATCTAAGAGTCCTGTTTTTACAAAGAAGATAGTTACCTGTCTGATGGTTGAGTAATAAACATTGAACTAGATTCCACTGGGACCACTGCCCCTGAGCAATTCCAGTTTTAGCAAAGTGGTCTCAACATGCCGGGCAGAGGATTTACATAGAAAGCACTTTTTAGAGAACACTTACAGTTTTTAAGTTAATTTTGTCTGCAAAGTAATCCCAGTGTCTTGACCTTTTTGGATTTACTTGGTTTCACTGCCTAAACTTATCAGTGATAAGTAATATCTGTTCAAAAAGAAAACAGTCTTGTAAATGTATTTAGTGTACTTGCTTGACCCTTGTTGAATAAAGATAAATGCCTAGCCTTATAATGCAGATATGTTACCTTCGGACAGTGGAAATTCACTGCCATACTTTATTTATAGATACTTGAAAAAGGTGAGTTGCTTTTTTGTTGGGGTTTGGTTTTGGTTTTTTTTCAGAAGCACAATTGCAATTTTCTTCTTGTTTCTCTCCTTTTTAGCCCTGTGATTGCAGCCTCATTGGAGCCCTGAGTTCTCAGTGTGACTTAAATACAGGCTGTTGCTTCTGCCGCCCTGAATTCTCTGGGGATAAATGCACCGAGTGCAGGCTGGGTTACTGGAATTATCCACAATGTGTTGCTTGTCAGTGCTTCCTGGCAGGGACTGATCCACAGAGCTGTGATACAGAGTTGGGGAAGTGCTCGTGCCTTGATCATACTGGCCAATGCAGCTGCAAGGTAGGACAAAGAAGGTTGTAAGCTGATCTTACAGCTGCTGAGAAGTTTATTCCAAAATTCATTGACATTTGTACTTGCCTTTTCCAACAATACATGCAAACAAATCTAGTTGGTTTTCATAGTGCATTTGCTAACTGCTGTGGCAGGAGTCTAACATAAAGAAAGACTTAAGTGCTTATCAGTTGCTTTTTCACACACTAACACTTGCCAGGATAGCATCCTCCTAGGCTCTCTTCTCACTTCATATTTCTTCCTGTTCTTATAGAACTGTTGCCAATTTAACCCCATTCAATACAATTCTTGTTCAGATATTTGGCATATTAAAAGCAAACGCATCAGTAATAACAGTATGCCACAGTGCTAGTTCTTTATAGTACATTGACTTAGGAGGAGTCAATATTGATCATTTTATAAGTAGAATTCACTGCGGTAGTATCCATTCTTCTGAGTAGACTGCATCCAATTCAGGATCACTGAAGCAAAGGCTTTTGGCATCATGACCCACAGCATTCTTATTTGGAATTGTTCTTGGAAGAACAGCTCACTTAGGTGGTTTGATAATGGGTGGATTGCTGGGCTTAAAGGGCAATAATCGGTGGTTTGACATGCAGTTGGTAGCCAGCAAGCAGAGTACCCTAGAGCCAATACCTTCATCAGTGACACAGATGACAGAATTCACCATCAGCAGATTTGAGAATATTGCTGATTTGGAGGAGGTAGAGGTTGAGAAGCTGAACAGTAGAACTATAATTTAGAGGGTCCTTGAAAAGCTTGATGATTGGGAAAATAGAAAGGTCATGAACTGAAGTGGAATAACCTCAAGAATCAGTACAGTTTGGGAGGAAAAAGGCTGAGTGGTAATTTTAAGTACATACAGGCTTTGGGGAATGGCAAGCTGAATATAAGCCAACCATGTACTCTCATTGTAAATAAGGCAAACTGCCTCATGGATGCATTGATCATACTGGCCAATGCAGCTGCAAGGTAGGTCATCATGAAGAGCATGACCAGCAGAGGAAAGTCTTTATCCCCCTCTACTCAGTGCTGGTAAGACTTCACTTAGAAATGGTGTCCAGTTTTAGGACCTGATTCAAGAGTGTTGTTGAGAAACTGGAGAGGATCCAGAGAAGGGCTACAGAGAGACTTGGAGCAGATGATCTGTAAGGATATACTAAGAGAGCTTTTAGTCTGCAAAAAATAGAGGCTAAGAGAAAATGCAATTGCAGCCTACAGCCACTTCAAAGAGTAGTTGATGGAGTCAAGTCCTTTCTGATAGTAGCAAAAGATGTGACAAGGGACAACAGCTGCAAATGGTAGCTTGGGAATTTTGGGTTGGACATTAGGAAAAAAAATCCCTGGGAGGGTTATGCAGCACTGGAACAGATTATCCAGAAAGGCTGTGAAATCCCCATTCTTGGAGGTTTTCAAGAATTGGCTAGAAAGAGGCGTGGGTAACCTGATCTAGTATTGGTGATAGTCCCGCTTCAAGGAGGAGGTTTTTAAAAGGACCTCTAGAGATTCCTTCTGTGATTTTGATTCATTCTTTTTCAGGGACTGTATTGACACAAAGAGCTAGTAAAATGGAAGGATGAATTTGAATGATTGAATTGCCAGGTAATTCTTTTGTTAAAAGGGCACCAGTCACTTCATTCTGAGTTTAAAGGATAGACTCAATGGAGGAACTGTAGAACAGATTAGATTGGAAGGGACCTATGGAGTTCATCTAGTCCAGCACCTTGTTTGAAAGACATTGCTGCGACAGTATTTCCAAGGATGGGGATTTCACAGCCTCTTTGTCCAAACTGCTTGACCACCCTCTTGTTCTTCTGGTGTATTTGAACAGAAAACATCACATTCTATTTCACAAATACTGATTTATTTGATGGTGAAACCATAAGAAAACTGAAGTGAGTGAGTTGATCACATGGACCATGTGAGTAAAACAGCCTACTGATCAGTGTTATTTGTCCTATGTCATCCTCTGACATGGAAAAATAGAAGTATCTCAATTCTTTCAGCCTCTACTGATACGTGATGTGCTCCAATCCCTCTAACTATCTTGGTGCCCCTTTTCTTGATTAGGTCCAGTATGTCAATGTCTTTCTTGTAGCTCTTGTAAGCGCTAAATAGAAAGAATGGGGGTTTATGGCATTTTTAAATAGAAATGTTTCTTTGTTGATTCTTTTAAGGCTAATATAGTTACTTCTATGTTTCTGTGAGTGCAGATTAACAGTATGTATTTAGCTGATGATTAATGATAAGAAACTGCAATTGACATGAAAAAAAATGCAAAGCAAGTAAAATTCACAATTTATGACAGAAAATGGACAAATAATACTGAATTAAGTCAACAGATTTTTTTTTTTCCAGAATTTAAGTCTAAGGTTGAGTTTAAATCTAGGGTTGGTTAACCTTTTGTGTAACTTTTTTTAAAGAGTTATATTTTGAAGAAGCTAGATTTTTATAAAATGGTAATCATTCCCATTTAAACCTGCTGTTATAGCTGCAGAAATGAGCTTGCAAAGGCTCAGGAGCCCCTTTGTCAGTCCTGACAAAAAGCAGCAAAATCTAAGCTAAATACAGTGTAGGCACCTTTGCTGATAGAGTTACATGTGGAAATGAGGGTTGAAAATGGTATATCCTCGGGGATAATGTTTGTTTCCTGTATAAGCTTTGGAAAGTTGAATTTGTTTTTTAGATTGGCTTCTTCACATTACTCTCAAGAGAAGAAAAAGAGGGGAAGGAAAAGCCAACCAGTGCTTTCATATTGGTGATTTTTTTTTAAATACCTTGGTCTCAGTATGAAAATGGTTTTAAAAGGCTATGCATAAATTATTGTGTATCTGGCCCTATCTGGTATAGCTTTTTATTTGGACTAATTGAAAAATGAAAATAAAAGCACTGACATTACAACAGTGAGACATTTCAGCCTTGTTAATACTGTTCAATGATGTGGAAAACAATCATGAAGAGGGGAAGGCTTTTCTTTACAATACTTCCATTAAAATATGTTTCTTAACAAGAACATTTAGTACTGTACCTTAAACATTCTAACTTGTCAAAGCTAATTCCTATTAAACAAAAGGCTTGATTAACCCCGGCAATTTCAGAAGGACATATTTTTTCTTATCTTATCAATCATTTATTGAGCATGTCATGCCCAAAGTGCCATTTGATTTTTCTGAGCTTACAACTGTCGGTATGAAGCCAGCATCCATTGCTCAGAGCTACTCAGTGGATACAAATGCAAATGCCTCAATTACATTAATTGTATACACACATGATAAGAAGCTGGAAAGTTCCTTGAATATTTCCTTGCACTTATTATTATTTCTTTCTGCACCCTGTTACTATTATTGTATGATTTTCTTTTTCTTATTACTACCTCGAAATAAAGCTTGCTTTTTTTTTTTAAATATTCTCTCTCTTCCAGGTTAATGTGGAAGGTGTCCACTGTGACAGGTGCAAGTCTGGTACATTTGGTCTCTCTGCCAGAAACCCACTTGGCTGCAGCAGTTGCTATTGCTTTGGCCTGACTACACAGTGCAGTGAGGCAAGGGGGCTGATTCGCATGTGGGTGAGTACGAAACTGCTGAGCCATGTAATGCAATAATGTTGTTTCCTGCTGGCATCTTTTAGTCAGGCACTGAGAGGTAGCTAGAAAATGGCCAAACATTTAAGCAATCATTTTCCTCTTTATACTTTGAGAAGTGGAGAGAGCGGTATGTTCCATTAGACAATCAGGGTCAAGGCATTAAATGTAAATAAGTAGATAAGAAAAGCAGTGATAGGATAGCTGACGTCAAGCCAAAGTAAAGCTATTAAAACCCAGGGAAGGGCAAGCTAGTCATGTGGGGAAATCATGCAGTCCAGTGCATTGTAACATAATCTCTGGTATATGATACACAGTTTACCCAGGTGTATTCAAGAGTCACAGATGCTTGTTGTCCAGCATAGATTTCTCATGGTTCAATAATTCTGTTTATTTTCATTGTTTTGTTCTGTTTTTTTTTAATTTTTAAAAAAGAGCTTATTAAAGTTCTATTTAAATCCAAGAATAGGAGGGTATAATCCATCAGTGCAAACAAAGAGCTCTCCACCTTTTTGTGGAAGAGGGCCTTGAGACCTATGCTGGACTGACAAATAAGGCAGACTGGATGTCTCCATTTATCTGTACAACGAGCGCAAAACACGCATTGAGACCTCTGCTGTCCATCACTGCTGTGCCAGCTCCTCAGTTACATTCTGGAGGAACTACTTCTAATGGAAAACGACTAGTTCAGTCCCCATGTGTGGTCAGTCATATCTCTGCTAGAAAGCATGTCAACCATAGAGGGAATGTCTGCCTAATGCAAATCAGCCAAAGCCCCTGACTTGTCCTGCACAAGCATCAATTGCATAAGCATACTTTAGGCTGAAATCAAGGTGTGATCTCTTACTAAAGACTTCATATCTCTTGGTTGAAGTAATATGAATAGCACCCATTCTCCCCTTCATTGTTCAATGCAATAGCACCTCGTGCCCTTCCCTGTGGATGAAGTGATTTATCATGGTCTGACCCAGTTTCTCTCATTATTTCAGTTTTGCCCATCATATGCTGGTAGGCTGGAGATGAAAGGCTGTAAAAGGCTGGCAAGTTATAAAATTTAATCAAGTTCCATGACAGCAACAGTTCTGGAAAATTGTGCTTTGACCTTTGTGGCAGCACAAAGCAGAAACATAGTTTAAACCTCCTGATTATTATGTGTCTGTTGATTAATTTCCTTTCCTATTTATGGTCATATCTAAACAAGTGTATGTCCACATCTCATGTAGTTTTTGGTACTCTGATCTATTTCAGAATTGTTTCAGAGCTGTAAACTGAGTGAGGCCGGGTTCTGCCAGCTGCTAGTGACTATTTCAGATACTCTCAGGTGCTTCAAATGGCATTAGACATGTTTAAACAAGCAAATCCTGTCTTCTATGACAATAAGGCAAGGCTGACCTGAAATTCAAATGTGTTGACCACTTTCTTGATGTCTAAAGTAGTAAACAGTAAAATATGGTTATGATAGGAACTCAGGAAATCTCACTTAGGGTTGGCAATGTTAGGAATGCTTCCACATCTGGTCAGTCGATAGATGCTGCTGTAAATGGAAATACCAAGATGCTTAAAGTGCAGTACAGGCTTGGTTGATTCCTCATTACCCAATCCCTATCTTGTGAACAGTGTGTTGATGGGATGACTGTTAGAGATATAACTCTGCATTTGTTTTCTTTGTTTTCCTCACTCTTTGGGAGAAAGCAGTTTTGATACCAGCCCTTTGCATTTGTTCACTCACTTCCTGTGATACTTTCATCTGCACAGAATTACTAAGACTCTTATTACAGTTTTTGATCAAAATAATGATTTCTGTATAATGCTATTGAGACTCTTTCAACAAGTCTAAGAAAATTACAAGTATCTAAGTGGCATCCTTGTATTTTTCATTAAATCTGAATTTAGAGTTACAGAAACTCTGAGCCCTCACTCTCTGCATATTGCCTGGAGAACACTTAGCTTGACTATTGCGTAAAAGTACCAAGGGATCAGGCAGTGTGTTCCACAGCCCTGGTGATGTATAGTAAGAGTTGGTGAGAAGTATGCTTCTTCATAAGGTACAATTCTTACAATCCAAACAGAAGAGGCCCGAGACTGAAATAGCACTATGGAAATCACTTCAATAAAATTCTTGGGATCACTTGCTGATGAAACTATTTTAACCAGAGCTAGTATGCTCTTTGTTAACATGAGGACAAGGTGCAAAAGGCTTGAGGGGGAAGTCATTATTATCACTGTTTATACCTGAAGGAGTAGTAAGACTGTTCTGTGACAAATTGCTCATGATGTGAAATGAAATTACCTAGAAATAATTTTTTGAAGAGTTAGAATTTAAAAACTAACACTTCATGGGGAAAAATAGACTAGATTTTCTTCTTGATTTTTTTGAATATGTATAGATGACCTTGAAGCCAGAGCAAATGATTCTACCACTGGTGGATGAAAAGCTTCAGCGCAGCACTCTTTCAGGGATTGCATTCCAGCCTCCTGAAATAGTAGCAAATATAGAACAGGTGATGCAGGATCTTCGGTCAGAACCTGTTTACTGGAGACTTCCAGAGCAGTTTGAGGGACGAAAGGTAAACATAAAATTTCACTGAATACTTCATGGATTTACATATTTTTTTATCTTATATTTGTATTTTGCAATGCCTTTTGTCCCTTCCAATAAGCATGTCATCACACAGTGGAAGGTATTCAAAAGAAAATAAATGCCATTCCATTATGAAAAATTATTTGCTCCCTTATCATGGAAATTCATAAGTCTGTAACATAAACACTATTTTAAAATATATATTTTCAGATAGTAACATGTAATATTTTTCCACAAGATAGATTCTCTCATAAAAATGTTATTTGAAAAATTAAACTACATTAATTTAATATAACTCTCTTGTAACTTTTTGTTTCTCTCCATTTAAACAAACACAATGCCTGATCTTTGTAAGGAGAAAATGATTGAAATAACCCTCCTTTTGGATATTGTTATGTGCCTCTGTGATGATTGATTTTGCGCTTTTGGTATTTCTTGGTTTGGCTTGGGAAAGTTTAGACGTTTCTTTCTCTAAACACAAATTTTGGGGAGCACCAAGGCACATATAAAGAAATAGATAACATTTTGGCTTTAGTGTAGTACAATAACAAATTGCTGATGGGTATTTTTGAACACAGCCCTTGTCCCCAGATAGTTCCACAAGCATGTATTGCTATTTTCTACCACACGCACATTCATCAGGCTGTGCACAGGTGCGGAGTGTATCTAGCGTCTACATATGCCCAGGAATTTATTTTTAGCTAACTGAAAATGAGATTTCTTTTTGTGCTTTGTGTTTTGCTTTGTTAGCTGACCACTTATGGAGGGAAACTGAAATATGCAATCTACTTTGAAGCACGAGAAGAGACAGGTTTTACTACTTACTACCCACAAGTCATCATAAGAGGTGGGCCTCCCACCCATACAAGAATTATTGTCCGACATGTGGCTGCCCCTCTGATTGGGCAGCTGACAAGGCATGAGATAGAGATGACAGAGGTAATGTTTCCATCTGCCATTTTTTCCCAGAACTTAAGCACCTGGTTCTTTTTAATACTGTTAATAATCTGGTTTTGTATTACTGTCTTTCAGCATGAATGGGAATATTATGGTGATGACCAAAGAGTCAGAAATGCTGTGCCCTGGGAATATTATCATGATGACCCAGGTGTCAACAGGACGGTGTTCCAGGCAGATTTCACGTGGAAGCATTATGCAGATGACTCAAGACCAAGTAGAGCTGTATCCCGGGAAGACTTTCTGAATGTGTTGTATGATGTTCATTACATTCTTATTAAGGCTACTCATGGCAATATCATGAGGCAGAGCAGGTAACTATTTCATGCAGTGGTCTGAAATAGTGCAGTAGTCAGAGATAACCTGATAGAGCTTCCCAGCAGAATTTTTATTCATAACATAAGCAATAAGCAGTTGCTGAGAAGAACAGAAAGAGTTAGCATTCAGCATAGCAGAAGATGCAGGAGAGGGAAATTTTATTCAATAGAAAATTTAAATCACAATAGGCAAATGAAATCCTTATTTTCAGGATCCTAAAACAGAAAACACATGTAAGCACACACATCCTGAAACACATTCAAAATATTTTTGGAATAAATGTCTACTTTATGAAAACATGATGCTGTAATTAAATATGTTAGCATATGAAGAAATTTTCTCTTGCAAGTGGGAAATGATGTAAAAAGTCAAAGATGAAAGAGTAGTCCTTTAATGAAATGATACTTAATCCAATATATTAGGGACAGATATTCAACATTTTCTATTCAGTTTATTCATTAATAAGTTAGATAATGAAATAAAGATAACAGTTACTAAATTTGAAGTGGACATCAGACAGCAAGATGAGAGGAATAATATAAAAATCTGCTGCAATCTAAAGGTCAACTATAAGATTTTACACTTTGAAAGGAGTAGTCAATTGAACAAACGAGGAACAACTGCTTAGTTACCTATTCTTCAAAGAGGGCTCTGTTGTTTACAGCATATCACCAGGTAAATGGTAATGACATTCTTGTTGAGAAATGCTAATATTCTAGCTGCACGTTTAAACAGGTACGGCCTGCAAAGCGCAAAAAATTAATCTCTCACTTCCACCCAACACTAGTAAAGCCTAATCATCAAGTTTTGGATACTGGAATTCAAGAAAAAATTATTAAAGTGTTCAGAGGATAACAGTGAACATCATCACAGGTCAGAAAATATGACCTGTGAGAGAAGATGTAAAGAACCAGATTTATTTAGAAATTAGAAATTGCCTTAAGATCCATAAAATATTGTCACAAAGAGAAAGGAAAGAATCAGTTCTCTGTTGCCATCGTGGGTAAGTCAGAAAAGTTTTTTTCAGGAAAGATTCACGTTAGACACAAGAGAAAAATTCCTGGGGGTAAAGAAGTTCTGGAATAGACTATGTAAACTATTCCTAAAAGTTTTTCATAACAATTCACAGTATCCTTTGCAAGCAAAATTTATTAGCAAGGACACAGGAATAATTGGATATAAACTCCAAAGGTCTCCAGAGGTCCTTTCTGTGATTCTGTCATAAAAATAATAGGCTAAAATTATTTCTAGATTTCTAGGTCACAAATAGGTCTATAAGAACATAACCCTTGGAGTTTATGAGGGTGAATAGTAGGGGCAGATACATTGCAACATTGCAGCATTGTGTGACAGAAAACATAGTCATTGTTGCTGCTATTGTCTCTATTTAAAGTATATAATTTACAGAAAGTATTCATCCAGCTTGCACTGGCTAGATGCTAAATATTAACAACAGATGCCATAAATGTTTTGCATTGGTTTCATTTATTTTTGGCATAGTCAATTTAGGATATTGTATTACAAGCTCAGGGGATCCCTGTGAAAAGAGACAGGAAAGTAACTCCAGTGCGACATGGAAAATTTGGGAAGCATGTCCATATTTTGTGTCTGTTTCTCCCTTCCCTTCCCTTTATGCACTACAGATCCTAGTTCAGCTGTGGAAGCAAAATCTTAATACTATCTCAGCTCAAGCAGCATAAGTTATGAAAATGAACCTCCATTTTAATGATTTTGTTCTGAGATGCGTATGACCGTGGTGACTGAACTAGACCTGCATTGTAATACACCACCATTTTATCGAGGCTGCGTAGTAATGAGGCATATAATGGAACAGAGGAGGACTTTTCAGTTTCAGGGCAGGTTTGCAAGGTGGCATTTAAAGAACCAAAATTTATTTTCACAGCATTGCATTTCAGAATGTGACATTTTATATGACAGCAGGACTTAGCGAAGAGTTCATCTGTTCTTTCTGGTAACTCTCCATCTGAAGTCATAACCTTGCATATCATACCGTATTTGATTTTGGAAGTGGTTATGTTACAATAGGTTTTTATGATCTGTCCAGTTACATAGGTAACATTCATCACATGGCATCTGAGACTTTAAGTAGAAAATAAACAGCAGGAATACATTGGGGTTTTTTTTTTCAAGTTAGCACCTTGAATGATTTCAGAGGAAGTTTTGCTTAAGATCACAAAATAAATCCCCCGAAATGTTTTTAAAGGTTAGTGGAGTATTAGCTTGTGTAAGAATTGAAGGCTTTTATTAAAAATAGTCTGAGACCCTCTAAAGGACAATATTTATGCTCAACTTTAAACATATGTTTAAATTAAGTGATTTATAATAAAACATTTGTTTAAATAGAGTATGTTGTGCTTTCTAAATAAAGGCCCTGTTCTAAACTAGTAAAACTTCTCTTTCTGCCTGACATGTGCATAGTAGAAAAGTATAAAGCAAAAGAAACGGTGGATGGGAGGAAGAAAATGTATATGAAGTATTTTTAAATTTTTTTAAGGTTTTTAATAGTGCCTTAATTTCAATTGCAGAGTTTAAAAGCTGCAGATAAGTGATAAACTACAGGAAAAGCATTTAAAATAAAGTCAAAGCAGCAGCAGCAGTTGGAAGCATAAAAAAAGCTTAGTTCTAGTGTTAGCACTGAATTAGCTATATAGTTTAGCAGCAATGCTAATGTTGTTTCTGCTTCAAAGCTGCAGCATTACTAGTGAGCTAGGGATTTCTGCTCAGAATCCAAAGGCAACCATTTTTCTCCTATATTGTTCATTTTGTTGCCCTCATTTTCACATTCACCACTCTAAATTGAAACATTTCTTTTATTAGATTTTGTTTTGCTTTTTAGGCAACTGGGCTGTGATAATAAATTAGTTTGAATTGGAAGTATGCTTTCAATTTGACTGTGAATTATTTCAATATCCCTGACACTGATCAAGTAGCAGTCGTTGGACTACTGCCTATTAGACATGTTCCAAGGATCAACCAAGCCTGACCTTCCTTAAGTAACATTTTCACACAAACAACAGGTAGCTTTGTGGTCCCAGAGTATATTATTATGTAAGTGCGGTTTTCTGACAGTAAATAGGTTTTTTGCAGTGCACAGACCATTGCCTCAGCCTTGAAGATGATGGGGAGGCAGATTTCATTTTGTTTTTCCATTAAATGTACAGAGATTTCAGTGTAAGCTTACATTGACATATCAGATCTGAATGGTTGTGCCCTCTTTATTTTCACTTTTCTGTTTTGATATGGCTTTGTTTGCTTGGCGTTTTTTTGTTCAATTTCCCTGCTCCACTGAACCCCTTTCTTCAGGTAGTAAGGGAGCATGGGGTTTAAGTTACTAGATGATTTGGGTATTTTGCATTGACACAAGGTAGCAAGAGGTATGGGTCTGGTCACCTAAGCTCAATCTTTCAGCAGTGGGTGTTTGCTTTTCCTACAGTCATCCTGACATTGGTGCCTATAGGCCAATGTGCAGAAGAAGAGTGTCAATAATCAAGGTTGGGGAATAGACGAAGGGACTACGAGCATGAGGAGGTGTTGAGCAGTTCTGTGAGGTCCTCTGCATTAGCCCTATGCACAGATACTTAATGAATAGACTCTAGCAGCGTTACTGAAATTTTTCAGCTAGTTAGTCACACGTTCTTCAACATTTTCTTTTAGGTTGGCAATATATTCGAAGCTTTAAAATTTACATTATTCTACCCTTTTTGTTTCTCAAAGACAGTAAGGGGGTTCCAGATCATAGGATTCATTTAAACAAACTAACAAACCCCCAAAATAAAGTAGTAAGCTAAAAGAACTTGTGGTACATTAGGATTAAGTGTATTTCATTAGATACTATGTTTGTTGTCTTTGTCCATGATGGACAACCCTATATGGCAGGTCAGCATGCATGCTGGAAAGACAGGGAGTGGTTGAGGGGCAGGGATATTATTATTAATACAATCAAACAAATGTTTGGAAAGTTAAAATGTCAGAAGCTCTACCATGAAACATATCCCTTTCTGATACTAGCAGATGCTTCTGTAGTAGGATTGCTTGTTTACTTTAAATTGTTTATGTGTGTAAATGATCCTAAGGAAAAAAAAAAGGATATCTGACTACCAATCTTAAAATTTCTGCTAAAAAGGCAAATGTCCAATGTCTTTGAAGTCTGCTGTAGAGTGTGTTAGGTTGCTTTAGTTGCTGAGGATAGATTTTTTTTTTTTAAATAGTTGCCTCATTAAAAGCTCATTGAGTGAACAATTTTATTGTCATACCTATGAGAATCATGAATTGGAACTGCATTTAGTATGTAACTTCAATTTCTTAATGAGTCCCTCAAATGAAGAATCAGATTTGAGCCTTTGTTAATGGTTTGGCTGAAAAGAGATTAAAAAAAGAGATTACATCAAGCACGAGGGAAAAGTTATTTATACTATTGCCTAGAAATGGAAAATGAGTCTGGAGGTGGTGGTAGCTTTGTTGTTTCCTTAAGGAGCGACAAAAATAGTGCTATTTGTCTCCTGTAGATCAAGAAGCCAAATAAGACCATTTTCTCCCATGCCAGCTGACTATGAACTAACTGGGTTTGAGTTAGTGCTTGACTCATCTCATTAGAGATGTTTGCTCCTTTTTTTCAGGATTTCTGAGATCTCAATGGAAGTCGCTGAAGGTGGCACTGTGTCTGGGATGACTCCTCAGGCTTACTTGATTGAGAAATGTGACTGCCCATTGGGTTATTCTGGTTTGTCTTGTGAGGTACAGTACTAACCTGACTTCCAGTAAAAGTCTTTATACCTTCTTCGGTCCGTTCATTAGCAAGGTGTGATAAGTAATTAGAGTGTGAATCCATTTAACTGGCAACAACTCTCCCTTAATTTAATTACTTACGTTCTTTCTCTCTGAGGTATCTCTCTCGCAAGGAATTTAAGCACTTTTTTTTGCTTTAGGCAAATATGCCATTGAAACCATGACGATGACTCAAATACTTAGAATACAGGAAGGTGATCTTTACTGGGTCAGCATCTCTGAGGCTGAATTGTGTGACTGATGCTGACTTTTTGGACAGATAAGGGTATAATACTGTTCTAACGTACTGTGTACAACAGATTGTACTATGTTATCATGTTATGGTGAGGCCATAATACACAATACAGTTACAATACCATGTCTTCCAAAAGGCCGAACTATACGCATCACTTTATCATGACCATAATTCTCAGAATCTGTGGAGAAAAACACAGATTCTGTGAATCATGGTCATTATAAACTGTCAAATTAAAAAAACCCAATTGATTCTATAAGTTATTGATAGTTGTAAGTAAACTACAAATTAACATTTGTAATAGTGAATAATTTAAGGTTACATACTACTTATTCCTGAAAAGTTCAAGATCTGTCAGTTGAATGAAATTCACCAAATAAAGTATAAAAACAAATTAGAAAAAAAAAAAAGTTAAAAGAATGTTATTGAAATTGTAACACCAAGCACTCTAAACAGAGCCGTGCAGAATTTTAAAATTCTATTCTGTAAAGGCTTTCCAGATTTTTAAGTTTGCCTTGTTTGACATTTAAATTCCCATATAAAGTTTTAACAGCTGTATGATTGATTGAAATATTTTGTTTTGAAAAAAAGCTAAACAGCATTTCAATTTTGATTTCTTAAATGTTTGTATTATAATGAGTAACTCAAATAACAACAAGATTTAAAAAGAGAAGTCATTTCAAAAGCAAAACTTGAAATAGTGCATGCTGAACAGTTGGTCAAAAAGGCAGTTCATAGATGGGAACTTGTAGATTCCTCACATTGATCTTTCCTCTTGAAACTGTTCCAAGAGCATGCCTTTGTGAACCAACACTAATAGGATGAAAGTTGTCCATTTTGCTTTCATTTTGCATGCTTGACTGCTCAAAATAGCACTGCAAATGCATTAAAAATGTAAATGAGAACCATTCTGTAGCATGTCTGTGTTTCATGAAAGAAGCTTCATGGAAGATGTTTTCAAAACTTTAAGAAATGTCTACTGCGCATGTTCAAACTGTCAGTTTTCTGAATACTTATAATTTATCCAAGTGGATCTATGAAAATACATTGAAAAGGGCCACTGAGTTCTGGCAAATATCTTTCCATTTTACTCCCCTACAATTATTCTTCTTCCAGTGCTGGTATAGGACTCCCATAAGAAGATCTTGCTCAGTCCATACACAAAAGCTTGCATCCTATCAAATTTCAGTACCCCTTTTATAAACGATGGAGCTGCTTGTAAAGAGGAGCAGAAATTCTGGAACATGGTCCAAATAGTGTATTTTGCTTTATTCTTAGAACGGTCGAGTCACTGTGTCATAAAATAAAATAGATCTGATACTAATGGAAACTTTTTTCCTGAACCATTGAAGTTTGGTAAATTTCTAACTCATTGAACACTGGGAGAAAAGTGTTGATCAACTAAGCGAGCTTGGTGCTCCTTATACATGTACGATATTTTTTTTTTGCTTATCTAAATATTTTCATGCTGGGGATTACGTGTGTCAAAAGTGCCCAAGTTTTATAGAAAATCAGCTGACTTGTATGCTTTTGTAAAATGTATCTTATGATAGGTACCAGAGAACGTATTTAAGATGTAATACTTTGACTGCAAAATACAAATTAATATTTTTGACTGTATGTGCTCTTGATGATGAGACTGGCAGTCTTCCTGTGTGCAAACCAGCATGTTTTTATTATTTAGCAAGACTAGCAACTCCAAATGCCTTTGTGCAGTTGCTAGGTGGAGGTAGCAGGGAACACCACCTCGAGTACTCTGCAAATCCCTCAGACATCCTGACTAAGTGGGTAAAGGGTTCCCCCAAGCTAGCAGTGGGAGAAAATTTGGAATGAGTAAATGAAGAGAAAGATGCCTTGTCATCTGCGAGAACTCTGCTCCCTTCAGATGTTGTACAGGATTGTGTTACGCAGCAAATGAGGCAACAGGAACAGTGAGTTAATAGGAAATATGTGCAAGGAAGTGAATTAAGTCATTTTCTCTGCACACTATTTCAGTAAGAGCATACACCTGAATGTGTGTAAATACACATATGAGAAACTAACGGGCTCCAGCATTTGCTCAGAAGTACAGATTTTTTTTAAATTACTGTAACAAATTGCATTTTTGAGGGAAAATATATGATAATGTAATTAGAACTTTATTTTAATTCACACCCACCAGGGGCTGGAATAAATGTCTCAGTTGCAACCTTCATACTTTGTGCTTAATTGTGCAATCTTCACATGCTCATAACTTAGTTTATTTTTAGTGTGCTCAGTGAAGGTTATGGTGTG